AGCTCACAGCAACCTCAGACTCTTGGGCTCAAGTGATTCTCTTGCCTCAGCCTCCCAAGTAGCTGGGACTATAGGTGCCTGCCACAACGCCTAGCTATTTTTTTTTTTGCCGTTTTTTGCTGGGGTCAGATTTGAACCCACTACCTCTGGTTTTGGGGGGCAGTGCCCTACTCCTTTGAGCCACAGGTGCTGCCCACACCCAGCTATTTTTAGAGAGGAGGTCTCACTCTGGCTCAGGTTGGTCTTAAACCTGTGAGCTCAGGCAATCCACCCACCTTGGCCTCCCAGAGTGCTAGGATTATAGGTATGAGCCACAGCGCCTGGCCAGTTTTTCATCTTTATTTATTTATTTATTTATTTAGGAACAGAGTCTCATTATGTTGCCCTTGGTAGAGTGCTGTGGTGTCACAGTTCACAGCAACCTCCAACTCTTAGACTTAAGCTATTCTCTTGCCTCAGCCTCCCTTGTAGCTGGGACTACAGGCACCTGCCACAACACCCAGCTATTTTTGTTTGTTTGTTTGTTTGTTTAGCAGGCCAGGGACAGGTTTGAACCCACCAGCCCCAGTGCATGTGGCTGGAGCCCTAACTGCTGAGCTAAGAGTGCCAAGGCCATTTTTAGATCTTTGACTTTCAGCAGTTTGACTGTGATGTACCAAGGTGTGGTTTTTTGTTCACCTTGTATATGTCTTGCTAGGGGTTTATTGGCTTCTTTGTAAGTTAATGTTTTTTGCCAAATTTGGGACTTTTTTGTTCATTCATCAAATATTTTTCTGTCCCTTTTCCCCTCCCTTCCATTCCATCTAGGCGTCCAATTACTTGTATGGGGGGTTATTTGATTTTATCCTATAGGACTTTTCTTTCTTTCTTTCTTTTTTTTTGAGGCGGAATCTAACTTTGTCGCCCTCAGTAGAATGCGTGGTGTCAGAGCTCATAGCAACCTCAAACTTTTTTTTTGAGACAGAGTCTCACTGTGTCTCTCTCAGTAGAGTGCTGTGGCATCACAGCTCATGGTAACCTCAAACTCTTGGGCTCAAGTGATCCTCTTGCCTCAGCCTCCCAAGTAGCTGGGACTATAGGTGCTGTCCATAACACTTGGCTACCTTATAGGACTTTTAAATCTTTGCTCATTTTCTTCAAGTTTTTTTCTTTCCTTTTTTTTCTTTTCATGTTTTTATACTTCTCTTTTTTGAAAATAAATCTACTGATTTATCTTCAAATCCACTGATTCTTTCTTGCCATTTTTAATCTGCCGTTGAGCCCATCTAGTGAATTTTTCGTATCTATTATTTTAATTTTCAGCTCCTGATCTTCCATTTGGTTCTTTTTTGTTTGTTTTTATTTTTGAGACAGAATCTCATTTTGTGGCCCTCGGCAGAGTGCCATGGAGTCACAGCTCACAGCAACCTCAAACTCTTGGGCTTAAGCGATTCTCTTGCCTCACACTCCTAAGTAGCTAGGACTATAGGTGCCTGCCACAAGGCCCGGCCATTTTTTGTTTTTTTGTTTTTTTTTTTTTGGTTGCAGTTGTCATTGTTGTTTGCAGACCCCGGCCGGGTTTGAACCCACCACCCTAGGTGTATGTCGCTGGGGCCCTTGCTGACTGAGCTACAGGCACCACCAATTTGGTTTTTTTTCTGGTTTCCATTTCTCTGTTGAGAATCCCTAGTGGGTTACTGATTGAGATAGTATTTTCTTTCCTTTTTCTTTTTCTCTTTTTTTTTGAGACAAGAGTCTCACTATGTTCCCTTGGTAGAGTGCCATAGTGTCACAGCTCAAAGTCCCAAACTCTTGGGCTTAAGCGCTTCTCTTGCCTTAGCTCCCAAGTAGCTGGGACTACAGGTGTCTGCCACCAATGCCCGGTTTTTTTTTTGGTTGTGATTGTCATTGTTTGGCAGGCTTGGGCTGGATCGAACCTGCCAGCTCCAGTGTATGTGGCTGGTGCCCTGGCTGCTGAGCTATAGGCGCCAACCCAGAGACAGTTATTTCCTTTTAATGCTTTGGACATATTAGTAATGAGATCACTGAAATCTTTGGTGTAACTGAAAGTCTCTTTAAAAGGTCAGTTTCCATTGACATATCATAATTCCTTGTTTTTCTGCATGTCTTTAAAGTTTTGGTTGACAACTGGACTTGAATATTACATTATAGCTGGATTTAGTTATATTCGCTGATGAGGGATGATTGTTTTGCCTAGCAGGTATTTAACTTGCTTAGATCAAATAGAAATTTCTCATCCCTCAGTTGTCTAGCAGCTGATTTCTGCTCAGTTTCTTTTCTTTTTTTTTAGCTTCTAGCTACTGCTTTTTTAGTTGGTCCCCTCAATCTCTCCTGTACCTTTGTAGGCTAACAGTTAAAAAACTATAAGTATAAGTAGAGTTTATATTCAGAGTTTTGTTTGTTTATTTATCTATTTAATTTAATTTTTCTTTTTTTTTTTGAGATAGGATCTTACTCTGTCACCTGAGCTCCGGTGCAGTGGTATCATCATAGCTTACTACAACCTAAAAACTCTTGTACTCAAGCAGTCCTCTTCTCCTGCCTCAGCCTCTTCAGTAGCTGGGACTATAGGCACATACCACCACATCTGGCTAATTTTTTTATTTTTTGCAGAGATAAGGTCTTATTGTGTTGCCCAGTCTGGTCTTAAACTCCTGTCCTCAAATGATTCTCCTATTCTAGCTTCCCAAAGTGCTGGGATTATAGGTGTGAGCCATTGCACTAGACCTATACTCTTCATGGTTTTCTTCCAGAGTTTTGTGTCAAAATTTTTAGTTTTTCTGCCGGCCCTGAGGTTTATCTTTTATAGATACCTCAAACTAATAAGACTTCAGTTTTGTGCCATCCTGTTATATACACATGGAGAAATGCTCTTAATCGTAAAAGCAGCAAACTCAACAGTGTTACCAAGCACAGTTATGTCTTTTATGTATGGGCACCAGTTCTTCGCCTGCTTTTTTGCTAGGTCCCTTCAGTTTCCCCTAACCATTTACAGTTTAGCAGTCAACTAGGGCTTTTTTTTTTTTTTTAAAGACACAGTCTCATTATGTTGCCCTCTGTAGAGTGCCGTAGTGTCACAGCTAACCGCAACCTCAAACTCTTGGGCTTATGCGATTCTCTTGCTTCGGCCTCCCAGGTGGCTGAGACTACAGGTGTCCACCATAATGCCCTGCTATTTTTTGTTGCAGTTGTCATTGTTGTTTAGCTGGCCCAGGCCGGGTTCGAACCTGCTAGTCTTGGTG